CCTGGTGGCTGGGGGATTTAGGCATGGGTGCCCCATGCCCCCGCATAAATTTGTATTTTTAGTAGCAACGGGTTTTCTCCATGTGGTCCCAGGGCTGGTCCTGAAACTCCTGACTCAGGTGATCCCGTCTGCCATGGCCTCACCAAAGGTGCTGGGATACAGGGTGGGAGCCCAACTGGCACCGCCGCCCCAAATCCGGTTTCAGTGGAGAATACTCGGGGTATAAATTTAGAGCAGATTTTTTTTTTTTTTTTTTCTGTTGAGACAGAAGTCTCACTCTCGTCCCAGGCCTGGAGTGCACTGCACCTTACATACTTGCAGTCCAAACTCCTGGTAACGCCGGTCTCATCTCATCCTCCCTTTGAGTACCTGGCTACAGTCCGTCCTACCCCCACCGTGTTTCTTCTGCTCGTAATTTGAGAGCAATGCCGGTTTCGTCAGGCTCGCTGGTCTCACTCTCGGGCTCAAATGATACGTGTTGGTAGACTCTTAAGTGTTTCGGGATTACAGGCATGACCCCACTGCAACCTGGCCTAAAACACAGAATTTTTTATTTAACATACCTGGTAGTCACTGTTACACAAGGGTAATCGGATTCACTCCTACGGACCACTTATACGAACATCTCCAGTTTCATGTTTTGGGTTTGCGCCAACTCAGCGAGAACCACTAAGCCACCCTGGAAAGTCAAATAAATCAATACAATTTTGAACATCGGAAACAGTTTTATATGCAAATTTTTTAAGATCATTTTTAACGATCCTGGACAGTACACTCATACATCAGAGATATAATCATGCTATTAGTAAATTTAATGTTATCTCGAACTAAGCAAGAGAGCCTACTCTTGCCATATTATGTGGATTAACAGTATATCACTCACGACACAACACCAATACATATACCATCTACCACACCGTATAATTATGCATAAACCATATCATATCGCATCGTGTTACTCATCACATGATTGGTACATGTAGGCCACGCCCATATTTCAAGATTTTGTTCCATTATCTATTGTTTATTACATTTCATATTTTTACTGGGCAATTGACAAATCATAGTTATTGCTAAGTCTGCTACAAGTTATTAGCTGTATAAACACACGTGGAAGTATAAATATTTTTCCGATGATAAAATGTTAATTTAATAGGAAGTCAAGGATATAAACATTGGACATTCATTCATACAAGATTTAATATTAGCCCCAATGTGCCTAATTATAATTGCTAGAAATAATGATAGTGGCGGGCGACCGGTGGGCATTCCCAAGCTGTAATACCGCAGCCACTTGGAGGCCGAGAGTGGGCAGGATCATGAGGTCAGGAGAATGAGAACCATCCTGGCTAATACGGGTGAAACCCCGTCCTACTAAAAATACAAAACTAATAAGGCCGAGAAAAAAAACAACCATAAAGCGGCTGCCTGTAGATCCCAGCTACTCGGGGCCGAGGAGGAGAATAGGCGTGGAAACGAAGAGGAGGCGCTTGCGGAAGCCTGAGATCCCGCCCCACTGCACCCATCCAGGCCTGGGCTAACAAGCCACGACCTCCACACGAATTACAAACACAAAAAAAAAAAAAAAAAAAAAGAATAAAGTTAGAGAATCCGGTTAAATCATTACTTTCCTTTTAACAGATTATAAAACATTCTAATAATGACTTAACTAAGACCAAACAAACATATATCACAACTGATTATAAGTTCCAACAAGTCATTTAAGTCACCATGATATCTTCAGAATCGCATGAATTGAATAAAAGTAAAACATACTGTCCGGTGGACTCCAACTGTTGCCTGGATTTTACTGCTGCCAAAGAGCCATATCACAAAAACTTTGACTGCTAGCCAACCCAATAGGACCTGTATTCATGTAATATGATATTTTGTATTATGGATTGTGTTTAACTACAATTTTATTTATTTTAATTAATTAATTAATTTAATTTTTTAATTTATATTTTTTTTTGAGAACGGATCTCGCATCTGTTGCCAGGCCTGCGAGTTCAGTGGCCGTCTCCTGCTAAAAAAAAAAACAAAAAAACACAAACACTACACAAACCCCCCGCCATCCTGGGTCAGTGAAATTCTCACTGCCTCAGCCCTCCCAAAGGTAGCTGAGGACGACACGGTGCCGCGCCCAAACCAGACACCTAGCTATTTTTTGTATTTTAGTAGACAGAGCCAATTTCACCATGTTGGCCCAAGGATGGTCTCGGTCCTCTTTAACATGATCTGCCCACCTTGGCTCCCACCCTA